TTGATATGTGCACAAATTACAAAAAAGCCAGGCATTAAAATATTGATGTTCTGAAAAACTTGTGCCAAAAATTTAAATAAGTCACAAGCTTAAAAACAAACAAATTTGAGTAAAAGATTATGCCATTAATTTTTAACAAATAATTAACAAAAACGTTTTTTTTTTAGGCCAAATGTTCCTGTTACTGTGTGTTCGTTCATCTTTGAAGTGGAAAACATCACGTCTTACAGTTCTTCATCAGCGCACATAAATTGGAAAATTGACTATGAAATGGAGGGAGAAACAAACACTGTCAAAACAAACACTATCATAAACGTGCTTGGTGGAAATACAGAGGCTGTGATGATCCTGAGAAAAGTAAGTATTGTATGGCGCCCTCTAGAGTCACAATAAAAGGGGTCTTGAGATGTAGAAGCATTTAATTTCACTATACTAATATTCAAGCATATTGACTGAACTTAAATTCACAGATTTTCAAATTATTTTACGATGTCACATGAATTTGATTTAATCCCACATATAGTAAACAACACAATCATATGGATAGTAGTTATTGGGTTGCGGTTCATCGGTAAAACTGTAAAACAATTATCAAATCATTAATCATTTCCAGTATATGTTGTGAAAAAAAAAAGACAATAAATATGTTTATGTTACTGATTCTTGTCCAATTTCAGGATCGTGAGTTGGTCAATACTGCTTTGTTGAATGGTAATCAAGTCAGCCATGCTCTCAGTATTATTGCAGTTGACTTTGATGGCGAAGTTGAGGATATAACAGACAGAGCGCATTGCAGCTCTGGAGATCCAGCAGTTTTGAAAGTAAGCATGCTCGCTCATTTACATGAAGTTATTTGTTGGAGAATCACAGAGCTCTCCTTTTACTAGTAGGTGCTGCTGCAGTATGGCATAGTGCGCCCCCAGTGTCGAATAGTGTGATTCTCTTTTTTTTATTTGACAATCCTGCTAAACCCAAAAATTCGATTTTGCCAACAACTCTCAATTTAGTTGCTGCAACTGAATGAACTAATTGATTAAAAATCTAAAAAGACACTTTATTATTCTGCTTATTTTGAGAAATGTTAACGTATTATTATCAATGGTATTTTTAAGGTGGCCACAGATTGCAGTATGGTGTACATGGATGGCACAGAAACGAATGGGTCGGTTAATGTTGCTGTCACAGTGCGTCATAGCCATTTGAGCGAGTTTGTCAACTTCAGTGTCTACATTCCAGAATTCCCGTTGACCGTGGTTGTTAAAGACGACAAACTTAGCCTGATAAAAAGTTGGAAGGTGCCAACAAATGAATTGCCTGATCGGTAAGTAGCGTGACATTTCCAGACCAATATTTTTTTTTTATTTAGGAAATTAGAAAAATTAATTCTTCGTGGGAGTAGAATTCAGAATAAAACTGTACCGAATGTAAATTTGTCCTGTTGAGAACTTTTCTTATACACCCTATCTGTAAACTGAACATATTTCAGTCCTGTTGGTTTTTGACTTAGACAAATTTCATAGTAGATTCATTGGAGTTTGGCATAGACAGGTTTCACTGTAAATTAGTAATTTTCTTCTGTTCCATTTCTCACAAATTATTGTTAAAAGTTTGTAGTCAAACTTGTCACTAATGAATTTACCATTTTGCATACTGTAAATGCATTAATTATACAGTGGGTGTTAATTTCGCTATTTTCACTGATAGGTAAAATTGGCTAAATTAAGTCTATGTGAACATGTAAAATAACAATAAATTTGTGAAATTAAAACACAGTGCATTAGCTCAAAATAGTATTCACTAAATGTCAGTGAAAATAAAAGGCTTTATAATACATGTCTTATGGTACAGGCACCAAACATTGCGAAAAGTGTGTGTATAATGTTTTGCTAACATGACACTTTTTTAAACACGTTTACAGGTCGACTAGAAACACAGACTACAGCAATCCAAGTATGCTACTTAAAGAAGATACTGGTGATGAAACCGAGAGAAGCCGCTGCCATCTTAGGTACCAAGACACGGTGGTTGAAGTTTACACCCATTTCTACGCTCCTGGTATCGTTGAAGGTCATAACGTGCCGCTATTCAGTGAATCAATCATGCAAAGGGTCACTCATCTTGTCAAGAATCAAATGCAGATGGCTGACAAAAACATCGCATCGCTGCATGAAAATAAAGTGAAAGGATTAAGCCCCGGGACGACATATGTTGAGGTACGTCCAATACACGTACAGTCTTTCAGATCACACTCAATTGCTGAGCTGTCTTGCGTTCAATATTGGCATCATGTGAAATGCACACCGAGGCACTTTAATGTCACCCCTATATTGTTTTGTAAGCCAAAACAACAAAATTGCCAGCTTATGTTGCATTGTGCGTCTCAAAATGAGGTTATGTTACTACTGCCCAGATTTTGTCAAATGAAGCGCCATAGTTTATGTTACGATTTTGAGACATCCATAGCAAACCAGTAAGCAATGTTGTTGTTTTTGGATCACAAAACAATTAGACAGTGACTGTGTTTGCTAAAATCACAATAAGGTCTGTATTACAAACAATACGTCTTTCTGAACATATTTATAGTTTTTCTGTCCCTTATTTTTTTTGCTACTATATTCTGCAACAAAATTGAAAAAAATTCTAGTCTATGGAGACAGTTCATGATTCATGCCATCTTAAAAGTATATAAATTCACCAAGAAGCATAGCGTGAGCCTTGCGTGTTGTGTAATGGTGGTTATTACCAAATCATCAGTGAATTCATGGATTTTATAAATTATTAATTAATTTAATTTATTTTCCAGGTTATTGCCCCTCACAGTAATGCCCTTTTTGGAAGTAAAGAAATTATGGTAGCTGGTGATAAGGTATCCATAAGAGAACTTCAGTTGAACCTGGTGACTGGTTTGTCGTTAACGACAAAGTCCTCTGATCAAGCCACGAATGTGTACATTACCAAAGCAACGGCACAGAGAGCCCTGTTTGCCCAAAATCAGGTGAGTGTATATGTAACAGTTGTATTAAAGCGAGAAGAAAGTTGTTATTATGAGTGATTTGACCTTTATTGTAACATGAAGTGACCAATCCTTACGAATATCACAGTGCTAATACTGTGTCAATCAGAGCAATCGTGACAAAAATATTTTAACTTATTTTCTTATTGTCATCATTCAACAGAAAGGATTCGTTGATGTTCTTGTTCTTTTCGATGATGGCCATACCATGTCGCTGCATGAAACCGACAGTGCCGATTATGCTGTTGAAATGGATAACTTGGGGATGAAAAACAGCAAGATTGTTCCAATTCCACGAGCTCACCCTCCAGGTTTGATTGCGCACGAGGAAGGCACAACACTTGTGATGGTGAAGTTATTAGTCCCCGAGTCTTGCCAGAAACCAAACAAATCAAAATTACTTAAAGAAACGCTGCTGTTTGTAAACGTGGAATTTACTGACAGTGGGCGACAGAAGATAATGAACAAGTCTCGGGATAATTCAATAGATCCAGGAATAATGCACACTGACCCTGCCACGTTTCCCGAGGTGCCCCCCAAAGATAATTCTGTTGAGGAGCATTCAAAACATAGTGGCTTTGACACAATCCCAATTGATGACCTGCCTGGAATCAAAACAGTTGAATCAACTCCAGAAGAAAATGATTACGAACCCCCACCGAGTGTTGCTCATGAAACCGTTGGTTTGTCAGATGTTGAAATAGGAATGTACGCGCTACTTGGAATATTCTGCCTCGCTATAATCATTTTCCTCATAAACTGTGTATTATTTGCGGCTCGCTATAAAAGTAAAAGACTTCCTCCTGACATGAGGAATGCCAACGCACATGATTGGATGTGGCTGGGAAAGTCCCCAGAGAGTTTGCAAATGAAGGGGGTCATACACGAAACAATACCCCTCGAACTAAGGTCAGCACAACCTGACCAACAAGAGGGGAGTAGGGGGGAAGGTAGCGGGGACGATGACAGTAGTCATAGTAACGGTGAACAGGGTAATAATGAACCACTTCAGGTTGGTGACAACCTCAATTCAGAGAGTGGTTACCATAGCAATTCAGGCTCGCAAAACGAGATTCAGATCATTGTCAATCCTGGACATTCAGACAGTGACGAAGAAGAGAATTACACAGAAAACGATCGATGTCTGCAAGATGTAGATACAGAGGAGGAAAATGTGAGGGTGGGAGAATTAGACGATTCAGATAATGACGTGAAAATAAATATGTTGTTTTCCTCAAATATGAGCACAATAGAGGAAGAACTGCCACCGAGCACACAACAGATGTCAAAATGCTGAGTTGGGTTTAAATGCTAAGCATTGGATTCAAATATTAAAAATGGCAGCTACTTGGCCCGAATAGAGCGGATATTGTGCTGCAAACGTATTGCAGACGTAAACAATTTTTTCCAAATATTGCAATGCCAGGAGAAAGTGAAAGATGAATTTATTTAAAAAACGTTTGTATGGATGTGTATAGAAGGTGGAAATGTCGCATGTTCTGATGTAGCTAGCAATTTCTTGCACTGCTGAATTTCCACTTAAGATGGATGCAAGAATTTCTGCGCAAGTTACTTGCTGCCTCGCAATATTTTGACGTTTTGAAGAGAGCTGCATTTTAAATCTGTGCCCTTTTACATTAAAACAAATTGCAAACTTTTACAGCAAGCTTTCACAAAATCAGCTAATAAATAACTTAGTAAAAATAAGTTGGCATGCCAAATTATAGAACTCATTTGCATTTTGCCAAATATGGTCTTATCAGCAAGGAAAGATGCATGCTAAAGCAGAAGTGCTTTGTATATTACCACACACTTTGCATAAATTAGCATATTTTACCCACATTTGGGAAGGCTGGGTGGGCACAGATTTGTTTTGCCATGCAACTAGTCTTACCAAAATCGTGTAATATTGTTTAAAAATGCTGTAAATAAAAAAGAATACCCATGGTTTAAGGCTACTCGAAAAACAGAATTTAGTTCTGGAACATGGGTTAAACCATTATCAATAGGGATGTAAATATATCTAAAAAAATAATTGCCCCTGCAATTGCAGCCATATTGTTTGGCCAGTTGAAAAATCCATGACATTTAAGACTCCCTAACTGAACTTCAAAAAGTTGCATTGGACCCACTTCCAAGTTCAGATCTGTACAGACTTCAAAAATGCCTAAATTTTAGCTACATAGGTAGAATTTGCTACATTTTAGATGAAAAAATTTGTATTTATATATTGAGCTTATTTAATATGTACATAGACCTGTTGTTTACATTTCTTTACCTGTCGTTTTCTTTGCCTCCCAAGTTGTATCCAGAATATTGTTGACTTTCCAGGATCACTCCATTGTATGTCACCGCACTGATCATCAGATTTCTTATGCTCTCCATTGAGCCTTCATGAATGAGGCCTAAACAGAGAGTATGTTACAGATTTACCCATAATTCCGTTGTCTATTTTCTTGTCATAAGTGATGTTCTGGATCATGACATGGAAGATTTTATGTGAAATAAAAAAAGTTTCTTAGACAAGAAAGTTACATTTATTTGTTTATTTTATTGTGTTTGGTCCTTGGAATCCAGAAGTGCAATGGATGGTGGTCATCATGACTCCCATACTACGCAATGTGTGCTTTTTATTTACATAAAGTTCAAAAACATGCATATACCGTGACAATCGCCTTTTTCATAAAGCCTGTAGTAATAATGGAAATACCCCATTTGTTATCGATGAAAATTTAACCAAAATCCTGACAATTATACATTACTGGTTTCAGATTATACATGATACAAAAAAAGACGCTTTACGCCGGCCTAAATAATGACATTTTGACACTGAAAGGGACACAAATTTTATTCTTGTTTATTCAGTCTCAGGCAAGCTAAATTTGAAACAAATTTGATGTTAAATTTTTAAGCTAATTAATTTGAAAAATATCTATATCACTTTCTCAATTTTTTTTAATTAAAATATACTGTAAGGCTTGATGGTAAAAACAATTTCAACACAAGAGGGATATATTTTGCCTCAAACTGCTTATAAGTTTGGTCCTAATTTTTGCCAAACTAGAATACCAGAAAAGCACTCAGACAGTGCAGACCTCCACCAAGAAGGTTATACACAACATATTGTGATGTACATGGCAACCAGATCTACATCCCTACCAATATTTAATGTTAATTTGTTCATAATTGTTTGAATTATGAATGTAAAATAATTGCCAAAAATCAGTGTTTCCATGGCAACCATATCTGAATCTCCACAAAAATTGATTGGTCCATATCAAGGGAAATCTCCACTGAAAATTTTATAAGAATCCATCTTAATTGTAAATTGTCAGACAACAACAAATAATCAAGTACAAAAGTTGAAAATTGGAATATCTTTAGTACGAGGATGAAGCAGAACTCAGATTAAAATCATAATTATTTCGCAGCCATTTTAAATTCTCAATGTCAATTGGTTCCTCCAATGTTCGTTCCACATACTTGACTTTATTTGCAGTGTTCACCAGAATTATGGTATTTGTCCTGTAAGAAAAAAAGACATTAAAAAATATGGCAACAACAAAAATACATCTTTGCTGCGAAGATGTGTGTAATATGACATTTACTGAATTTAGCAAGATTCACTACGATATCAAGTCTACAGAACCCAACTGACATCACAAAACATTTGTCAGTCGTAGAATTAAAGATAGGTGTCATATTTCTGGATATATAGACTAAAGGTTTGCTTAATATATCAATTTCTGTTTAGAATTGACAGTAAATTTTATGAAAATTGTGCCAAGACTGTGACCATAAAAATCCTGACACTGAAAAATATGGTAATACAAAAGCCCTGGAATTCAATTTGGCAAGGGTAAAATCTGTATTTTCTTGCTCATAAAAATCATAAATATTTCAAAATTAAAAAAAGAAGATTGATTTATGTTTCACTAAGTAAAACAGGTCGCATGTGAGATAAAGATCGGTATGGACCACTTTCCTGGAAGTAGCATGACTGGAGTTTAGAAATATGCCTGGCTTTGTCATAGCGAAAAATACAAACATGTTGGTTTGCTGATATTTGATAGAAGGAAATTTTAATTTTGTGACGCTGATTGGTACACTCAAAAACACAGTATCACACATGCAAGTTTACGTTACAACCCAAATATGTATGTAAGTGCATGTGAAACGCTGCATCTTCGTCCTCCGGAAAAGTGGTCTATTGTGGTCCAACATAGAGGGCGCTGCCACAGATATTTTTTCATGGTTTTCTTCAGGTACTCCAAGTTAGTGTCAGATGTTTATTTATGCCTTTAGTGTGGTTGATACAATCACAGTACACCTTGTTCACAGATTATGTCATATTTTAAGACAGCGCCCTCACTGTGGCTGACACAACCACAGTGTAGCCTTGTTGACAGATGATGTCATATTTTGGGACAGCGCCCCCAGTGTCTGGAGTTTCCAATTGAACATAAAATAATAAAAAAACTGGCCATAATTTCACTACCTTGTTCCATAATTTGGTAATCTGCATAATAATGCACCAAGCCTTGTCAATATAATGTCGGGATATGACCTACCGTTTTGCTCACTAGGTTGGGTATCATAATACCTAATGAAACAAACAAAACCCCAATGTAACAGAAATACTATAAAACCATACCACCCCTTTAAAAAATGGTTTCTCCTAAGGATGGGTGAAACCACTGTTTATAGGGGAGGCAGGTAGATAAGCTTGGTGAATTATTATAACCTCGAGCCATATCCCATGTCTGGGGACTGCACACAGACAGCGCTTCGTTCCCGTTGTTGTTTTGGTGTCAGTTCACCACTGCACTGAATGTGGATCTGGGGCTCTGGATGTCTGTTGGTATAAAATATTGCAATTTCAATATAATAGATGAATTAGATTATTTTTGCTTTGTTTACTTACTTTCATACCTGGTACTTAGTTGATTATTGAATTATTTAATTTATTAAATTGTTTACTTACTCATTTACATATTTACATTCCCCCAACACACAGCTGCCACACTAACTCTCCAGTTGAGAAAACATAGTAAAACTATAGTAGACCTGCCAACTTTTGTCATATAATTCTTCTTCCCTAAACTTTTGATCAAAACTTGTAAGTTTCAAACTATTTAGACCAGAAAAAATGCATTCCCTGACAGAGTGGTTTAATGCTGATGTTAAATCATTAATCAAATTGGAAAAAAAAAAGTGCCAAGTCACATGACTGATGGCAAGTCACATGACTGATGGCAAGTCACATGACTGATGGCAAGTCACATGACTGATGGCAAGTCACATGACTGATGGCAACATAGACGCACTGTAGACCAGTCTGAGAATGGAAATAGTTTGAAGCGTGAATTGCTTCAATCTTGTGAACATTAATTTTTCCAAAATGTTGTAGCCAACAGAGAAATATGCCCATTTGGTCCAAAATTAGCCAAATACTAAAAACAGAAAAAATTATGGCAGTCAAAGAGTTAAAAATGAAATAATTTATGATTGTGTTCTGTTTTGTTGTCATCAAAGTACAAGATTTTTAGCATACAGGTGTTATTCTTATCATGTGATATGAATCAAAATAAAGTATAAAATTTCACTCTTATAGACCTAATTAATAATGACTTATTTTGCATATTTATTTTTGCTACTTTATTCATTAAAACAGATACCGTGGAATACTTTATTTTTGCTGGAATTAATTTTCGCTAAAAAGGCTTTTTAGGAATTTTTTATGGAATTTATTTTCACTGATTTTTAATGAGTTTAATGTTAAATATAGGGAAAAAGGTATATTCGCTGGATTTTATTTTCACAGAATAATCCTTTCAGCGAAAATATCAAAAAATAAATTCCAAGCGAAAATAAAGTATTCTACAGTAATATGTTCTTTAAGTTTACCATTATTCTATATCTGCACCATGCTGAAAGAAAATTCTGTTTTTTCGGCCTTAGACAAAAGTATTTTCCTTGACAAGATAATATTATTAATTGGCACAGAATAACACTGAAATTGTGAGATCAACAAATGCAAAGTTTTTCAATTTTAACAAATATCGGACCAACATAACGATGTGAACTTGAACTAGACTGTACTTACGGAGTATCATCATTCAGAAACTCAATTAATTGGTCTACTAATTTCTCTTCTGTGCCTGTGGTGGCGCTGTTCACAATTTCTTCAAATTTCTTTTTCCCCACAATGGCTTTTTTCCATGGTTTATCGATGGTTGCATTGCATAGACTATAGATTCCTGAAAATACATTTAAAGTTTCAAAAATCAAGTGCTGGCTGGAATAAAAATTGTTGAATGCAGATTCATAAAAATCCACGAAGGGTAATAGCACTCACCTGGACATAATAATTCAGGATCCTTTCCAATCTTGTTGCTATAGTAACCAATCTGAGGTATATCTGAGGTATTGGATCTAGCAAAAATGTAAATGACCACATATCACACATACAGTGATATTTCTTATTCTCAAAATACCAGATTGTAAGTTCATTCACTGCTGTTCATCATTATAGAATCTACTTATTTGGCACGAAACTGAAGCTGAAGCACTACAATTGTGTGAAATGCATACAACTGCATGCTCCACTGCATATAATCGAAGTATATCAACCGTTCTTTGCTCATGGGGTCAAAAATGTTGACTATAGTAAAGATTTATTATCAACAAAAGTTTCTCAGTCATACTGTCTCGATAATAGCATTATTGTACACTGTGTTTTCATGGTCAACTCACAACATGCATTGGCAGTCGTCGCACAACATGTTGCCGCTAACACACACACCACTAAAAAATTTTATTAGTTAAGCGATCAACATTTATGCAAGTCGACGATTGCATGTTTTAGTAAATGACTACTGTAATGTGACTTTTACCTGGTGAGGTCCATTACTAGTAAATTAAAGCCATTATAAAGGTGACCTTCTTTCGCAATCCCTTGTAAATATGGTAAACAATCTACATCGCCCTTGATAAAATCAGTGACCAGTGAACCTAGGTGAAATGTACATTAGCATGAATAAATCAGTTGGCTGATATAAGCTTCTCTGTTTGCCTAAAAACAGGAAATCAAATATAATGTAATGATTGGGCAAGCCATTTTAAGAAGAAGTTGGAAGTGCAATTTCATACCAAAAAATTAAATTAAATTATAGTTATCCTCAAAAAATTAACAAATCTGAAATATGAAACCATACAACTGATGGATTTTAAGATGACATTAAAAATGTAAAGTTGATGACAATTATTGAATAATGAATTATTTTTACACCACACCTCTGTGAATAAAATCATTTTTTGTCAAGTGGAACAGAACAAATTCCCTCGTTTGTTTGCGCATAAAATAAATTTCCAATTTTTCTCAAAAAGTCATATCAAATTATGTTCATTTCATGCCAGTAACATACAGTATAAGACTTCTAAACTTTATCATTTACAGACATTGCTCAATATTACAAAATATTTAATAATCTCATGATGTGAATATTACAGGTAAATACCTCTTCCTTTTGCATTCAGGTCCAGCTGAGGTTGTAAAATGTTCAACAATGACGCTAACCTTCCTTCCTTGGAGATACCTAACCAGGTACCACCAACTCGGCCTTCTCGCATATCTAACCCTGTCCAGGAGAAAAGAACGAGTCAATTATTATTTTTGTGAGTGTTTGCTTGTTAAACGAGTCTATAATATACAATCTTAAGATGGTATAACGTATGCACATACTTTCCATGTTGTTAAACTATGAACAGATTCAAGCAACAACAAACAGGTTTAAATTCTAGTATGGATGATAGTGATTTCATTAAATTTCTTAAAGAACATATTGTTTGTTTTTCAGAGGTCTGCCGAGATAGCAGAGAGTTATTTATGCTTTAGATTACCGATAGATAGGAAAATCGAGTAAATGCTGAAAAATCATCTGGTAGTATCTTATGTTTAAGTCTATTTTTTTTGTAGTCTATATGTCCCTTCTAAACAGGCTTTAGTGTAGTGATACTAACCGCTTAGAATATGAGGATGATCTTGCCACCAGGACGCTGGTTTAGTCGGCCTATCTAAATACTCATCTCTGTTTGACGCTAGTATTAACTTATAACCATCAGTCGGTTTGACATCCAGTTTGAAAAATAAAATACACATTATCGGTAACCTTGGTAATGCTCACATGGAAAAAGGATGTGAACTGAAATAAGCAAACAAAATTAGTTATACAAGAAGTCAATGCTTAATTTGCACAAAAACAATGGTTCATGAATAGCCTAGAGTAACATAATTACAATGTCAGTGGTTTGAAATGAATAAAATCAAATAAAAATAAGCTAAGTAAATATGCATATATATTTGACTCCCGGGGGGGGGGGGGGGGGTTTACTCACATTGAAGTGCTATATGTATATGTGCCGCCAAAAGGGGTCCCAAATTCATAAATTCTGAAAAAGGGTATGTCATTTTACCCTGTCTGTCTGAAAAGAAGTCCATATTTTCCAAAGAGCTTGAGTGATCCAACAATCAGGAGAATGAAGCTGATTTTTTTCTTTCTGTAACTTCATTTCGATCGTCAAACCATTTTGGTTTTTTTCTTTCAAGCCCACCTGCTTTTCCCTTGGTACCATTTATGCTTATTGTCTGAAAAGGGGTAGGCAATTTGAGTTTATTTCTGTCTGATAAAGGGTAGGGGTTCCAAACAACCAGCTACACACCCCTGCCAGTATTTTTTGCAAGTAATGTGGCAAAAATGTCGCTAATTTCTATCTTTATAATCAAACATTTCCAAGCACACACTGCTTTTTGTGGTGATGCTATTGGTTAGAACCAAGCTTGATTGATGCATACGAAACAGGGTCGGTTTTAAGCGTTCGGAAATTACGAAAGTTTTCTGTACAACCATATATGGTTAATAAATTTGCATACCCTTATCTTATGAATCCACGATAATACTAATAATAGTGCCAAATACAGTCAAGGGCAGAGAGCTGTACCTTAGTTCATAAAGATATTTATACAAATTTGTAAATATCAATCACCAGCCTTCATTCAAATTCAAATACTGTAAAAGGGTTAATTATTCATTGGATTTTAATTTAGCTTATTTCGCTGACTGGAAAATGCGCTAAATTAAAACCCAGTGAATATGTAAAATTTAGCATAGAACACATTATCTAAATGATAAAACCGTGAATTTAAAACCCACTGAATATGCCTGAAATGGTAAATCAGTGAAATTTAAACCCAGTGAAAATTAGTCATTTTACCGTGGCAGTATTTAATTTTGATTGGCCCACGAGCACAACATTGTCCCATAATGCCTACGCAACACATAACAACTGCAACTGCCCACTTATTGAAAATGCAGCACTTTCCTGATTGGATGATGTTGAACTGAATAATTAATATTAATTAGAGCACATAATACCATAATACCGGTAAGGTCAAATTAAAATCTAACAGCCATTTTGATTTCTGAGAACGTATATTTATATAAATATATTTTTTTTTAAAGTTTATAATGTCCCCAACTTTCTGCTCTTCACAGTACTGCACAGGCGCTTAACAATAAAACGATAAATAAACAAATCAACTTGTGCCATTGGTATCGGCTAGCCATGATCT